TTTCAATAGCTTGTTGCCATCTTCGACTTGTGCGACTGTTGGTACGGCGAGCAGTTCTTTTAATCTCAGGATCGAAAAGAAGGTCTTAAGGCCGGACTTGTCCTTGCATAAATGAATTATGCACACTAACCAAACAGATCAAAAGGCAAAAATAATTACAGAGATAAGAGATTCACAATACATAAGTCTTAAAATCACTAAACTATTTCAATGCTTGCAATATTCTACTAACAATCCCCAGCACCAGCGCCAATTTGTTAGAAGTATTTTTCGGTAGTGTTTTATCGTATCCACAGGGATTGATGAGAATATGTGATGCTTGTCGTTCGATGGTTTAATGATTTAAGAAGGGAGGTTTTTTTAAATGGTTTTTATTTTTGCAACAAGAGTTTGCAAGGAATAAAACAGAATAAAATTTGGTCTTAGTTTGATAAAAAGCATGCCAAGATTAGGGTTCACTAATCCATCCTAAACGTATCCAATCAATCAAATATGTGAACGTAGTTTTAACCAACATAATCGTGTATCCTCGCAAAAACGTTCATTTCTAAAGTGATTTTAGGAATGTTATTGTTTCGACCGTTAAAAGATCTCTCTAAATAACACTTGAAACAATAACCATTAAGATCAATACAAAGCGAATATCAATTTTCAAATCTATGTCTAGAGTTTATATAGTTAATAGATGAAGAAATTAGGTCAAGACTTGAAAAGTTCATGTCTAAAGCAATCTAAACCATAAATATAACAAAAGATAGCAAATAACTTCATCTATATTGATTAAAGCTTTGTTCACATACAAAGGATCAAGAAGAATACATAAAATGTGAACTAGCTACCTCTAACCTTGACAAAAGAGGGATTTTAGCCACCCATTTCCATGATAGCTTGAGCAACAAGTTTCGGAAGAAGGTTGATCAACATCTGAGTCGAATAATCGAGATTGGATGGGAATCCACCTTCTTTTTGTGAAAGATGGCTAAGAGATGATGAGAAATGGATGGACTATGGTTTTAGCTCTGAAAAATCTCTAAAACGAAAAGTACAAGAAAAAGATATTTTTGCAAAAAGTGGCACATACTACTTATAGATATGCTGCTGAGCTGTCTTGTTCGTACTGCGAACGATACAAATTGGCAGTTGAAGTGCATGTGAACAGTGAAGAAGCCCCTGAGATATTTCCTCATGTTCGTTGTGCGAAGGCTTCGCTGCAAACTTCGCACAGTGAATTCTTGTCCAAATACTTACTGCCTCAAGTCTGAGGTGTTCGCTAGACATTCACTTCTTCTTCGCTCCAGCGAGTTGTTCGCTGCCTCTTTTGCACAACGAACTTAGGTCCCTTTTCTTTTTGGATGAACAGTACCATGGTTTTCCTGGCCTTCACTGGCAAGTTCGCTATGCGAACTTGTTGAAGTTTTTCTGGCAGGTTCGTTGTGCGAACTTATTGATGTTTGCAAGCTGACTTGGGTTCCTTGTCATAATTTTTGTGTCTTACTCTTCAAATTTTCATGCCTAATTCCTTCACAATAGCACACAAATCCAAGCAACCAAGGTATTTTCACATAAAGATGCAAATCAACAAAAGCAAGAATGATTCTAACACTTTCTCTACAAAAAAGGAATTAAAGATGCCCACATTTGATAGTTCAAATATGCAATGTTGGGCATCTAACATCAAGTGCCCTCTCAACTTTGACCCTTTGTTAAGTGCCCTCTCAACTTTGACCCTTTGTTAAGTGCCCTCTCAACTTTGGTTCTTTGTCGAGTGCCCTCTCAACTTTGGCCATTTGTTAAGTGTCATCTTCACACCTTGGCTCTTTGTCAAGTGTTGTCTCAAACTTTCTTCCTTCTATAAAGATCATTAATTACTTTAAAGTACATCAATACTCTTTTGAAATAAACTTGAAAGAAAAGGATTATTGGAATCTAGCATTCTAGCAAAACCCTTGAAAGATTGGTCTCAAGTCTTACACATTGAGATAGTCAATCATTTCTTTCTTTCATCCTTAAAAAACCTAATAAATAACTTGGACCCATCAAGAATTGTTAGAACCTAGCACTCTAGCACAACATTTTGAACCATTGATCATTATCAATGTTCATGGTCCATAAACAATATTCTAAACCAACCTTGAATGAAAAGGGTTGTTAGAGTTTAACACTCTAGCATAAATCTTTGAGCACTTGATTATTAATATATGTTCGTCATTCCTAAAATATATCCAAACCATATTCAAAACTTCTAGGTTACGGACAAACCTTGATTATTATCGAGACCAAAGCATCTTTAAAATTATGAGCAAACCTTGATTATCAACAAATGTATTTTCTTAAATAAAACTCCAAAACATCTAATAAGATCAAAGATTCTTTTCAAAAATGAAAGGTATATTGTGTTAATAAACACTAGGGCAATATTTTGCCTACAACCATTGAGTGAAGATAAGTGGCATCAATGAGATTTGTAAATTCATTCAATGTGGTGAAAATGTTCACTCCTCACTTGTTTTGGGTAAAACAAAGTCCTTACGTTGATTAATTAGTTTTCGCTAAAATCAACCAACAAACTTTTTTAGAATTAAGATTCTTGAAAAGAATCTTCTTATAGTGTGTTTTATCAGACGGTTCTACAATAGTAATATGATCCCTAACTGATTCAGTTTTCTTGGATTTGTTTAACTATAACTCCAAAATATCAATAACCTCTTTTATAACCTGAATCTCGTGGATAAGTTTATTGATTCCATTATTCGTGTTGAGAGAAAAATATTAAATTGGAACAAGAGAAACCCTTTTTCAAAATAACATACAACAACATAAAACAACAACAACAACATACACACAAAAAACCATAAACTCTCGAACAAAAAGAAAATCATGTGAAACATGACACCAACATATGCGAAAAAGAAGAATAATGAAGAATAAGATTACATTTATGTATGAAGCGAGAGCTAATGACGAAGAAGAGAGAGAAAATGTGTGTTAAAATTTAATTGTGATAGATACGACGATATTGTCAAGAAGCGAGAACTAATTCTCATATATTATATATAAGTAAACAATTTCACCACAGTCGTATTCAAAAACTGTGATGAAATGCAATGACTTTTAGAACTGTTCATATTAACAACCATGGTGATAAGTATTTTAATTGTAATTTATATATTAGAATTATAAGAACAACATTCATTGTAACGAAAAAATAGAAAATTATTGGAGCTAATATTCGAACCTATGACTCCATAAATGTATAATCACGGCTTATTAGTTTGATCGTAGTTCAATATATTTTCATAAATATAAATAAATAAAGTGAGTCCAAAAACGAGATATTACTACGGTTAACAGTCAGACCGTTGTAGTTTAGTATGATGAAAAATATTTTTTATATTAGTATAGTAATAGGAAATTATGTAGTGATGTAAGCTTGATAACTATATTTTTTTATATTAAGTTTTAAAATGTGCCTAAAAATGAGATCACGTATAGTTGCACATGTCTTGAACCGTCATTCATTTCTTAACTTTTGCATACTAGAAATGACATTTTAATCCAAGAGAAATGTTATTCTTACACTAAGATATATATTATACTGTATTTTACTGTTCACTAATACATTGAACTGTAAAATATTATAATAATAAAATAAATTTTATTAAAAAAATATAAAAATTAATTATTTTTTTATATCTGAGCATTTATTAACTAATTTTATATCTTCATTAATCAATTTTTTACATTGAATTAACCAACTTTGTTTTACTACTAAAAATTATTTTTATATTTGGACGTTTATTAGCCAACTCCATAATTTCATTAACCAACTTTTTACATTGTATTAAACAACTTTGTTTTATTAGTAAAAATTATTTTTAAAACATGTGCCTTTGTTAACCAATTTTATCACTTTATTAATCAATTTTTTATATTTTATTAACCAACTTCGATTTACTATTAAAAATCATTATTCATGCACTGTTCACGGATATTATTCATACATATGACACTGTTTACAATATTGTTCATTTACGGTTTCACTATTCACATAACTGTTTATCATATTTATAAACAAGGCATACCGTATAGGTATAAAGAGAGGATAAATATAGCATTGCTGTTAATCCTATTATTTTACTTTGTCAACTAACTATTTAGAGAGGAAAAAGTATTTAAGACTCGACCTAAACGCAATACACAGTTGGATTAGACCATTATGTAGCACACTATAAGAAAAGGACAAGTACACTTAAGCGAACCAAGTTGAGTAATCTAATCAGTGCCATACCATAACATTAAATCGATATCTACACATTGTCGAGAATAGTGTAATGGGTCTTAAAAGTTCCACTTAAATTTTGGTAGAGTTAGTGCTATAACAAAGAACATATGGTGCATATATTAATTAAAAGGTTTTTCTAAACCCTAAAACTTCAGACCCCTATTTTACTAAATCATCGAATTGTTTGTAGATTCACCACATCGCCCTCAATTGTGTCTCAATAAAGACTTTGAATACCCGCCAAATTAAGTTGGGAATAATTGTATATATAGTAGCTACTAGTAACTAAGTTGAGAGCGATGAAGATCACGGCAAGGCATGCATGAATGAGGGATAAAAAAATGCATGGGAAAGATGAGAAAATAACCATCCACTTTTAACTCACGAGGGCATGTAATTGACGCAAGATCATAAGCGTGAGACGCGTAATGTTTATAAGCAAGAATTTAAAGAGAAAGAAATAAAGAGTGAAGTATCGTGTGTGTATTTGTATATGTCTATTACGTATACAATGTTAAACAATACTTCACGGGAAAGCAACCTATAGCATTTATTACCAAACCAAGTTAACTATTTTTTGAGGACTCTTTGATTTTTGCCTCATATAAATAGAGCATACTTTGATTTGTGTGGCAGATAGAGTAACTCGTAGCTTCCAAAAGGTGAAAGATCATAAAAAAAAAACGATCAACCTTAGTTTTCTAGAACCAAATTGATCATGTCTCATATAGCTGTTGAGAGGAACAGAAGAAGACAGATGAATGAACATCTCAAAGTTTTAAGGTCCTTGACCCCTTGTTTCTATATTAAAAGGGTAAATATATATATTCTAACTATCACTATCCTTTTTCACAATTGAATCAACAACAAAACTACCATGAAATCACTCTTTAATTTCATGTTACATGTTAAAATTTGAGACTAGATTGTTTTTTGTCTCTATGCGTTTATGATCGGTTCTTGATTAAGATGCTTTTTTTTCTTTTGTTGTTTCATTTTAGGGAGACCAAGCATCAATAATAGGGGGAGTTATAGAATTCATCAATGAGTTGCACCAAGTTCTTCAATCTTTGGAATCTCAAAAGAGAAGGAAGAGTTTAAGTCCTAGCCCTAATCCAAGTCCAAAAACACTGCAACCAACTTTTCATCAATTTGATATCTTCTCCGGAGGAATTGAGGCTAACAATACTTTCAAGGAGCTAGGAGCAAGCTGCAATTCTTCAGTTGCAGATGTAGAAGTGAAAATCTCAGGTCCAAATGTGATTTTAAGAGTGATATCTCAAAGAATTCCGGGTCAAGTTTCAAGGATTATAACCGTTTTAGAAAGTTTTTCTTTTGAAGTTCTTCATCTTAATATCAGTAGCATGGAAGAGACTGTTCTATACCAATTTGTAGTCAAGGTAAATCATAGAGCTACTACCATGCATTTTTATCAAGATACTTCTCATCAAACCCTAATTTGTTTTGTTGATTTTGTTAATGCAGATAGAACTGGGATGTCAGCTAAGCTTGGAGGAACTAGCTATGGAAGTTCAACAAAGCTTTTGTTCAGAGGCAATGAAGTTGATTGCTGTCTGAGCATATTTCATTTCTAAGAGAGACATGTTCGATTTGGATCGTGCATGTGATAATAAAATAAAAGCATGTGAGAGACATGCAACAAAACTTACTATAAACAAATTAGGTTATAATTATGTCATAAACTTTATGACAATGGAACATTAGTATCATGGTTATCAATGTATTGTTCCTGCATTATGTTTGTTTATGAAATGGTTCCTCATACTCACTTGATGATTCCAATAGAATACACTTATTAAGTTGATTGTGTTGGTATAAAGTTATTTTAGATTGTGTATGTTTCTTTTTATGTAGAACTTTAACCTATCCATTTTTCATTTGTAGTAGACAGAAGTGTGTAAGGGAGTTTCTAGATAGATTTAAGATGAATGATTGCAACAAATCACAAATAAATCTGAAACAAATGCAAAACCTAATGAATGTAGTGATGAGAAGAGAGTAGAGCCAACCATGTTCAAGACAATTGTAGCCTCATCAAGATACTTATGCAATAAAAGGCCTAGCGTCTATGTAGTAAGCATCATGAGTAGATTGATGAACGAACCTATGAAATATCATTTGGTGCTTGCAAAATGGATACTCAAATATATAAAAGGAACTACGAAACTTAGCTTGCTATTGCTAGTTTTGGTGAAAGAGAAGACTGCATAATTAATATGATATTCAGATTATGAATGATGTAGGGGCATAATAGATAGAATGAGCATTTAAAGGTACGTGTTCAAGTAAAATGATCCAACCATCTTTTGGTATTCTAAGAACCAGCCTATCATTGTCTTGTCCTTGTGTGAAGTTGAATACATTATTAACAGATTTGCGTCTTGTCAAGAATTTTGGTAGACTTAATAGACAATATAGACAAAGAGAAAACCATACTGGATGATGATAGTGCATGATTACACCATGACCTTCCACTATTAGATTAGTTTGTTAGTTAGTTGTTATAGGTAGTTATATTCATGTAACTATAAATAACTTTGTTGTAACTAACTTTGATATTCAATCAATGCAATACAAATACTATTCTTTTTTCTTCCATCTTCATATTTTATCATTTCTTCCTTCTCTATCAATGGAGTTTCACACTTGCTTAGATGGTATCAGAGCAGGTTTGTCCTGCTCTATTTCCGCTGTGCTATGATTCGTTGATCAATGATATTATTGTCGTTTATTCTCTTCGCCATTGTTTCTTCTTGAAGCATCATTTCTTGGTTTAATCTTGCATTGATTCGTTTTATTATTCACCTTTTTCTTGTTGCTTGCATTGTGTCGACATGACGAGAAATAATAAAAATCAAGTTTAGGATCAACTTGATCTCTATTATGTTCATCCTTCAGAAAACTCATCAACAATTTGTGTTACTCTTGTGTTATTTGGTGATAACTACCATGCATGGTCGATGAAGATAAGGTGAGCTCTAACTATGAAGAACAAGTTTCAATTTGTGGATGGAACAATTGAGGTTCCGAATAAGAATGATCTCAACTATGTAGCTTGGCAAAGTTGCAATAATCTTGTACATACTTGGATAATCAATTCAATAAAACTATTAATTGCTCAAAGTGTGGTGTTTAATGATAATGTTGTGGATATGTGGAATGATCTTAAGGATCGATTCATGAGAGGTGACAGAATTCGTTTTGCTCAGTTACATCAGGAAATTTCCAATCTAAAGCAAAGAAGCAAGAAGGTTTAAGATTACTTTACTGAATTGAGAAGCTTATGGGAAGAACTAGATCAATACATGTCAATGCCAAGTTGTACATGTCGTGTGGCTTGTGCCTTCTCAGCAATAAGAAATGGCAGAAGCTTTAGAGATGAAGACAAAATTATCCAATTCTTGATTGGCTTGAATAATAAACTTCATGGAGTAGTCTCACATGTACTGCTCATGGAACCTTTGCCTCGGATAAACAAAGTCTTTTCTATGGTTATGCAGCAAGAAAGGAAGATATGTGGCACCATATTTTCAAGTGGAAATACCACTGAAAATGGAGCTGGTATGGTTAATGCAGTAGATGGGACAGAACAGTTTGGAAGAGGTAGAGGAAGTGGCAGCTCCAATGCTGAAAGAGGAAGAGGTAATATGAAGGTTTGTACCTACTGTGGTAAAATAGGTCATATAGTTGATAATTGTTACAAGAAACATGGTTATACACCTAGTCATGGTAGAAGAAGCTCATATGCAAATCAAGTGGAGGTAGATGAACCAGAAAGCAAAGTTGAAGTTGCATCAACAAGTGACAATGGAAGCATGACATTGACAAAGGAGCAATATCAAAACTTGATGGTGCTTCTTGAGAAGAATGCAAGATCCATTAATCTTGCAAAGAGAGGTAAATCTTACATTGTTAGCTTAAATGCAAATAGTAGTGTACGCTGGATTTTAGATATAGGAGAAACACATCATATATGTCATTCTCAAGATTGGTTTATGAAGCATGATAAGATTAATCCTATAATGGTTAATCTTCCCAATGGTAATTTTATAGCAGCATCAATATGTGGAGATGTGAAGTTAACTAATGATTTTATTCTTAGAGATGACCTATATTTGCCACAATTTGAAGTTAACTTGTTACCAGTTTCAAACCTATATAGAGAGCAAGATTGCAGCCTAGTTGATCGCGACTTTGCGTATTCGTCGGATTACTACTGCAAGTATACAGTCTATCGCGTAGTTTTAAAAGATTATCAAACCCATAAGGACTAATAATCAACCTAGAGTGATCAATTGTTATGGTGCAAAGCTAAGGCTTGGTTTTTGCGGTAGAAAGACTTAATTAAAATGGGATTTGAAAAGGATAAAGAAACGGGTCCGAAGAATGATCCACGCGATCCTAAGGGACTCTGCAGATCTTGGGTGCTAACAAAGGACTCAAATTTATTTTGTAGGAAGAACTGGTTTAAAGATTCAATCTCACACCCTCGCGTTATTGACCCAACCACACCTGATGACCCCAAGATTTTTTTCTCGCTCGCTCGGTAGTTAAAAGGCACGTTTTGAAAACTAGCAAGGTCTAACTGAGACCTGAAGCGTTCTCGCTACATTCAGACTCAGTGCTTGGTGTCTACTATCCGACGATCACCTCAAGCTCTCGCTCTGTCGGACACGCCTTGGTGTGTTTCTCAATCTCATGACAAAACACTGTTAACCAGCCTCTCGCTCTCACAACAAGACTGGCTAAATTCTGGTTAGACACCAAAACTGGAATCTTAAAGATAACTAAGTTGAACACTGATGGTTCCTACAGAGTCCCGTCGATTGACAGTACTCAAACTACGGACTCCGACTAAACTACTCAGACATTTGCATTTCTAAACCTAAAACATTTATCATGTTGTAAACTAGAACGTCCATAGTTGTAAATAATACGGAATATCAAATACAGTAAAGCAGTAAAAATAGAATTATAGATAACCTGAACTAAAATAAATTGAAATAACTTTGAACATATTACAATGTTGATCCAAGCGTGCAAACAACGGTTACAAGAAAGTAAAAGTACAACGGCAGTAATCACTCAATGTGAGGGATTACTGCTTTGGTTAGTGAGTATAGAAGAGAGGTCTGGCAGAATTTCGACAGCGCTTCCGCACGGGTTCTTGGATTCTGAGCTCTGACCTACCAGCCTCTATTTATAGAAGGGGGAGGTTCCTAAATAATAGCACATGGAAACTGCCTCAAAGCTGCCCGCTATTCTAAAAAAATGCTCCTGAGGCAAACGGCGACCGCCGTATGCTTAATGGCGACCGCCATTAGCTTCAAATTTGGATTCCCTCCTTTTCTTCAATGGCGACCGCCTTCCTCAAGTAATGGCGAGCGCCATTGTCCTGAGGAGGCCAAAATGCTGTTTTTTTAGGGGATTTCTCCATCGTTTAGCTCGCTTTCTGATCCTTTTCTTCGATGTTGCTGATTTCACATCTGTCAAGTAAAAACGAAAGAAAAGGTAAGTAATCAACAGATGAAACAAAAATGACTCAATAAAATGACGGATAAAGATGCACGAAACGAATCAAAAAATGAGATACAAAATCGAGTCATCACTAGTGTTTGAAACTAACAAGTGTATTATAAAGGAAAATAAATACTTGATGAAGATTGGTTCAGCTAGAGATATTGATGGACTATATTACTTGGAAGCATCCCAAGGAGATAGTAATATAGGATTTGTTTCTAGTGTTTTTATCAATACGAAAGCTGATGATGTAGCTCCAACTATTTTGCGGCACCTGAGATTAGGTCATCTATCCTATGATAGAATGAAATGTATGAGCAAAATGTATAGTTACGTACCTATCAGTATTCATAAGGCTTGTGATGTATGTCAACAAGCTAGACAGAAATGTTTGCCTTTTCCTATTAGTAATAATAATGCTTGCAATCTGTTTGATTTGATTCACATTGATATATGGGAACCATTCAATACTATTTCTATGCATGGCTTCAAGTATTTTTTTAACTATCTTAGATGATCCTAGCAGACATGTTTGGGTTGTTATGTTGAAATCCAAAGCGGAAGTAGGTTAAAAGATAACAGACTTTGTAGCCATGGTTGAAACACAATTCAATAAAAGGATCAAAACTATTAGAAGTGATAATGGAACTGAGTTTCTCATGCATGCATACTATGCTTCAAAAGGTATTATACACCAGAGAATTTGTGTTTATACTCCTCAACATAATGATAGAGTTGAAAGGAGGCATCAGCATATCTTGAATGTTAGTAGAGCACTCATGTTTCAGACAGTATTGCCAAAGTTCCGGTCATATGTAGTCAATCATGCAATGTTTCTTATAAAAAGAATTCCCACTAAAATCCTGAAGAACAAGTCATCTTAGGAAGTTATGTATGGTATTGCACCTGATCTAAGTTCTCTAAGAGTTTTTGGTTGTTCGAGTCATGCTTCCACCTTGTCAAACAACATGCATAAATTTGATTCAAGAGCAAGAAAGTGTGTTTTCTCGGGCTACAAGGTAGGTATGAAAGGCTTC